GCGTTTTTTTACTTTAACATCACACACTTTATTCTTGTGTGATGTCGTGTGTAAAAAAAGGAAACGAATAAAATTTACATTTTTTATCTCGAAAAAGATTTTTTTCAGTTTAATTGAGATTATCGTGATTAGAAAGGCAGGAGTATCGAAATTCAAAATCTCCTTTTTTTTCTGAAAATTTTTGTACGAAAGTCGTAATAGTAGCCCCTTCATAATACAAGCCCCCCCTAAAAATTTTGAGCACTTGAACAGTTTAGAAGCCCCTGAGGCTTCTATTATGGGGGGGGGGTTTATTATGATATTCAAAACGCTTTTATTGTGATGTAGAGAATTTTTCACAATCGCATTTAGATTTTTTCTTATATTAAAAGTTTTAGAAACTTTCTTGAGTGAACGTACGTTTAATTTTGGGTAAGTGTTTAATAGTCGAATAACTCACTTTGTGGTAGGTCAATGTGACCTAAGTTAAACCAAATATGTTTCATAGATCCAAAATAAACTCTAAAAAATAAAACAAAGTATTGTTTTATTGAGATTGAAAAGTTTTTACTAAAAATAATGAAAAAACTAAAGTAAAAAAAAAAGTAGATGTTTTTCTTAGCAAGCGAAATCCAAAACAATATACAATAGAAATACTAGCACTATAGTTAGTCAACATAATACATATAACTTTAGAACTAAAACCCAAAAATCTGTTATAACTTAGAATAAAATAACAAAAAATATGAAGACTTGTTATGTTCTTGAGAAAAATAAAATGAAACTAGTTGGATTGAAACTTGGAATTGGTTCGGATAGCTAATGCTTCGACACTTTGACGAGTGTACACTGATTCCATTGCCAAAAAATATTAAGCAACAGAGGATAAAATATTATTATTAATCATTGTTTTTGCCGTAAATACTGAACTTTTTGCACTTTGTGCAATCATTTTTAAATTCTGATGTGATGGATTGTGTGGTAATTGTCCTCCCTGACCTCCTCCAGTTAACGTTGAACCAATTTGTTTCCGTCTTGGTTGTTCAACGGGACCAATTTTTCGTCTTGTTTTTGGTAATTTTGATCTCGCTCTCAAATGTGTATAAAAATTGGCAAATGTTTCTAAAATAATTGGCATTGGTAAATCAATAATTAGAAGACCAGCTACTGTCGATACGGCTCCGACGATCATGCCAAGCATCGTTTTTGGATAAAGATCACCATAACCAATTGTTGACATTGTTATGATATTAAACCATAGAGCATCGGGTATAGAAGTAAACATATTATCATCACTTTTTTTTGTTGTCATTCGTTCAGCATAATAGATGAGTGAAGCAAAAATAGCTACAGCAATAAGAACAAAAAATATTAATAACCATAAAACACTACTAGAATATTGCATCGATGTTATAATAACTTTTAAACCGGGATGATGATTAAATAATTTAAATAGACGCATTATACGAATTGTACTTAATAAATCTAACGCTTCATTATCATTTACATTTAGTTTTGATAGTGCATACGTACAATAAAACCAAAATGTAGCTAGAAAAAAGAAAGGAAAAAAACAGACATTAAAATTAATTGAATTAAAAGTCAGTATATTGTTTACCTAAAAAATCGATTATATTTAATACAGATTTACAAAAATCTTTTTTATTTGGACTAACAATAAATCGAACAAGAATTTCAAAGATAAACCATGCATTACATATCCATTCGACCACTTCAAAAGCTGGATGAACTTGTTGAGTATTTAAAGTTGGTGTACGATCAGTAGAAGTCGAATTAATATAAACAGTAACAAAATCAATTTCTATTATACGAAATAACGATACTGTTTGTAAAACAAACGATAATATTGAAACAAGAATAAAAAATATCGATATCACAGTAATCACCTAAAATATTTCATAATTTAACGACTGTTTCTTTTTTGTGTATTACTAAAAGATGCGAACACCCACGAACATTTCCAAATTAAAACTAGAATCTTCGTTAGTTAATCGATAGAGCTCATTGAGCTGAGTACATTGTAAAAAATAAAGTGTGCCCCCTAGTGTGCATTCCTCCAAGTGTGCATTTCAAGTCCACAGTGATGCACAAATTGTTACTGTGTAATCTGAATTTTTATCTTCTGTTTTTCTATGGATAAAAAACGGAAGAATTCTTCTTCTCTTCGGTTTTTTTTCTCGTTCTGTTTGTGGAAGCTATATGTGTAATTCCAATGTGTTACATGCACACTGAACAAGCCATTTTGAGTGTGCAAAAACAGTCCAACGTGATGTGTACAATCATTTTTTACAGTGTATAGCAACGCCTAACAAATACCCAGAAAAGGTTTTATAGTTTCGCTTTTTAAACATACATTTTCAATGGACATTCAAAGAACGCCCACGAACGGCCAAAAGAAACGATAAGAACAACCAAAAAAGTGTGCCAAATCCATCTACAGGTTGTTCTGAGCCTACTGGTACCATTTTCAACTCTTCGAGTTGGATGTTCCATTTTTTTGGATGTTCTTACCGTTTCTTTTGGCTGTTCGTGAGTGTTCGCATCTTTTAGTAATACCCTTCTTTTTTTGTATGAAAACAAAAATAAACGAAAATATATCCACTCACTTTGGCTACTGTTGATGATCTTGGTTCTTCAAATATTTGCCAAACAATCATCATCACTTTTTTATATTTTGGCAAACGTCCTTGTACATAATCGAGATTATCTTCCCATCCAAATTTTTTTACTATATCGTCTTTTGATGATCTTAACGTATCTAATTCTAAACTATCTAATATTTGCAATGTTTCTTGTGTACTACGATGTTTAGTATACGTCATCCAACAACATGGTTCAACATCTTCTCGCTGTAAACCCCAATAAGATAATTCATCTTCAAATAGAGGACCACAAACATTAGTAGGATAATGTAATTTACCCGTACGATAATAATTTAATACTTGTGAAAATACACCGGGATGTCGATCAAAAAAGTATTCGTTTAATATTGGATCATACGATGATAATTGTTCAGTTAATTTTGATAATCGAGTAGCAGGTAATTTTTTTAACGTGGATTTAAATGTTTCAAATCGAGTACCACCTACATTGAGAATAATACGCGCTTCAGTATCCAAACTTGATAAATGAACAGTCATTGTAATCCACGATGATAAACATGATTAAATGATAAATAGCATCTAACGAGAAAAAAGAATCATTGAAGATAGAAATCTTTTCTCTTTTTTGTTTTGAAGACTTATACGATAAAATTTTATTCTATAGAAACTATAAATTCGCTAATTATTCTCTAAAATTTATGCGCAATATCAATGTACAATGAATAATTTTCTAACTGTTCATTTTATGTATAAAAATCTATTGATTCTATGATCAAGTTAATCCTTAATAATCCATTTGATACTAAACAAGAAATAAAGCCTCTTACTATAGCTATTATCTAATATTTTTTATAGATTTAAAAGACATGCTCAGAAATCTAATACTAATAGCTAATAAAAATAAAATAACTTCAATTGGTTCTGTTTTCCTAATAACATTTCTTTTCTATTTTAAATAATAATCTATTCACTTGGCTTTCTTTTCTTTTCCTTATTTCTCTTTTGTTTGTTATTAATTCTTCGCTTTGTGTCACACGATGAAATGAATGCCAGAACTTATGTATTGTCCCATGTGTGTGTGAAACAAGTGAAAAATGGTAGATACTTTTCTCTTTCTACCAAAAGATTCTGTAGGAAACATACCAATTTAAGATAATATCTAAATTACACATAATTATCTTAGATCAATAACACTACAGGAAATGAAAAACAAAAAAAAAAAAATTTATAAACTTTTAATAATGGAAATGAGTATGTAATTTTAAATTTAAAAAAAGAACTTATCTAATTTATTTTAACCGATTGTTGTAACATTTATTTTATTTTTAATTATCTCATTTTTATTTTTTCTATTCTACTACATTCACACCATACGTACGGACAAAGTTCCCTGTTTTTTATACACTGACATCCCATCACATTTCGGAAATGAAGCAAGTAAAAAAAAGAAACAGGAATGAGAAAATAGGGAAGAAGAAATTTATAGACAACATACAATGTAATAGTATGGCCTTATCAATCGTCAGAAAAAAAAGACAAATATGTATGTCTATATACATGTTATTGAGGAATACTTTTAGTAAATCGACAATAGAGTATAAAATAGTTTTTTCTTTTTTTCTAGCAGACAACTTATTATTTCTTTTTTTTTGATTACTATTTTTCTTCTCTCTCTCTCTCTATGCTTCAGAAGAAGAAGAATACAAAGAAAAGAAAACTCTAAAGTGCTTCGTTTGATGTTCGGTGTCCAGATTTCTTTTCTCTGTTTTGTCTTCAACAGAGAGAGAAGACACATCAAATAATTGCAATTCTCTTCGTTTTTCCATGATTGATTGATTTCTTTTCCATATAGAATTTTTTTTTTTTTTTACTCAATTTTTTAAGCTCTTTTCTAGCAGTAATAATTTTAGAACGAATATTGTTTTTGTTCAGATTCTGAAGTAGAAATGACTAGAAAACTTAAAGGTCAAATCTAAAGTTTTAAATAACTTCTGAAAATTTTATACTATACAAAGATTTGTATAATACAAATTTGCAGAAAATAGAAAAACAGAATAAGATTACTTTAGGCTATAAATGATGAAAATATAACCAGATTGTCTAAAAGAAATACAATCAACTTAACTTTTACAGCTAGATCAAAATAAAAGTTGGTTATTATTAAATAGAATAACATTTTGGTATCATATTAAAGCAAACAAATTATTTACAAGTGTCATTAACTATATGGTGATATAAATGAAACGAAAAAATTATGAAATCAAAATAAACATCTTTGAAGTATTTGAGAGCAAACACCCGTTCTTTTTCAACGAGTTGATCAAAGTTCATTCTTAAAACACAATAATAGCATATAGAATGAAAAAGTATCTTTTTTTTATAACAAAACATAATAAAGAATTAGATGAAACTCGACTATGAGAAAAAATATTTCTTACAAACTAAATATATATTTTTTTGCTAATTCAGTTATAAATGGTGACATGAAGCAGATATCTACTTTGTACAATATAATAACGATGAGTATAAAAAATACTAAAATCTTAAATTATTGAATGATTCATAAATTATTTATTAAATCAGAATTGGTACAATTTATTTGTCAAATATGTCATTGTTATTAAAGAGATTAGTGAAAAAGATGTAATTTAATTCAATCACCTAGAGGTATGTATGTTTATTTGATGTATTGTTTAAATACGTTAAATATGTTAGACTATGTGCGAGACGCATATACATCATTGATGGTTCGATAATTAAAAAGAACAAAAATATTTATGCTTCAAAAAAAAAGCATTTCAAATAATTATTTGTATTTTTTAAATTAAATATAGCAACAAAAACAGGACTAATAAGTAACAAATATTGCATGTAACATTACTCCTCCTCCTCCACTTCACTTCTGTTAGTCAGAGTGTTAATACAATTAATAGTACCACGCATTTAAATTACGATACACCGATAACCCAAATAATAACAACGCACACCAAATCTTAGCATATTAACATATTACATCGAGATATCGGAGTTTCATTAAAAAAGTTTTCATTAAAAAAACTTTCATTAAAAGCAAGTTCATTAAAATTTTTAATAAAATTATTATGCCATCAAAAACTCCAGGTGACACACACTTTGAAGGAGACATTTTAATGAAGGTACTGAGATTTTCATTCAAAATTTTCAATGATAGTTCCGGTACTTTCATTAAGCGTCCCCTCAGAAATTTTGATTTTCTGTCAATGAATTGGTTTTGAGATAAGCACATGGAAAGGTAACCCGAAGTGTCTACTTTCAGAATCTGTATCGCTTTTGGTTACAGAATTGAGTTTTCGGGGATTTTGAGCAAGTTTTCTAGGAGCCTCGGAAAACCGGATCTTCAAATAATAGCTTTTTCCTGGATACTTATGAAATTAAAATTTTTCTGAATGCACAGATTTGTAGAGCAAACGTTTTTGATCAAAATAAGATCTCGCACAACTCTGTATGACCTTGTATCAAAAACCTACAGGCATTTTCCTACAAGCCCTAAAATTGAGTATTTTATACAGCGTTTTCACTATATAAGAGTTACACCTGAAGTACGTCCCACGATTTTTAATAGCGGTTTGTCGTAGAGAGTTCGTTCTTTTTTTGTTTAAAAGAGGAAAAGAAACTACATGGTCTGACAGGCGCCGATTTTTGAATTAGGTCTTAGTTTTATGTCAAACTAAGAACTTTTAGAAAATCCGGAAGGCTTTTTCGGGTTTTGGAGGTTGTTGGTTGCCTGGAAAACCAGTAAAGGCTTAATTGAAAATCGAACCTTAAAAAAAGCTTTTTAAGGAAAGCTTTTTTAATGAACGTCACCCACTCCATTTACATCATATCAAAAAGATTTCGCATTGCACATTTCTTGATCACATGAACGCACACCGCTTCGTAATACCAAAAGTAATTACAAATTCAAAAATACCATGTTAGTGGCTAGTGATGCGACGCGGATGCCCACTTCGGTCATGCCAGTGCTCCCTGCGCCATGCTATGATCTATCTATTTGCTGGTTTCACATCCTTATTATCAACAAATAATATTGGCACTTGATTCCGATAAACTAACTGTCATAAAGTAAAAAAAATCAATCCTTAGTTTAGACCGGACGCGCAGACGACTGCAACCAATGCTTTTCAAATGAACTAGTTTGATCTAAACACATACGCTTTTCCACCGTTAAGCATGCTTATTCGTTGTTTAGCCAAAATATAGAAGGAGAGTTCAACACTCGAAATGATTACCCCAGTTTGGCCGAATCAAATATACTATCCGCTACTATTGCAGCAATGAGTCCAAGATCCAGTTCTTTTCCCAAGTTCCTAGATCTTCTCGCGGGATTGGATTAACAACATTAATACAACAAAACTCATTGAGCCTAGAAGCGTGGAAAGTGTTAGGATAACCACAATTATTGGAACATTATTCCAACAATCATCAACAATCATTTTCAATGCATAACGACCAGGAGCGCGAACTGTGTACGACTCTACTCGGTGAAAATGGCGTAGCTGGTTACTTCCACAACACATTGATCCAGTTTCAGCCCCTTTAGCAACTGTATTTAACTTTTCAACACATTTATTTGAATAAAATTCAATAAATATTCATCGTTCCCCTATCTCTTCGCATACGATGGATTCAAAATAGGACAACACCCTTTAGTAATATCATTCATGAAAAGAGTATTGAACCTAAGATCAACGAAATCGAGGTATGCGGAGACATGAGACATTGACATATTAATTAATTTCATTTCCAGCATGCCAGATAATGATGAACTCAACATACATACTTTCCCACATAAAACAATCGCATTAATAACCTTATGTTCAGTCTAGTATACATCAGAAATTCACTTCCTGAAATTATCACATAATAAAAAAATCATATTATAAAATAAAATATAATAACTCATAAAATGTTGATGAGTTAACAAAAACAAAAAGTTTTCATCATTCATCAATGCAACTCACTTTTTATCAACATCCAATACATAAAAAACTAGACATAGTTGACCCCGTATTAAAATATGTTGAAAGAATAACTACTTGGAGAGCAGAAGAAAATAAGGATAAATATAAATTATTTTTTATATTTCTTCATCCGCATAAATCAGCAACAACTACCACCATAGAGAATTGAGTCAAGAAACTATTGACTTTAGCACGAATCAACACCGAAAAATTCAAAACCTCTTGTCAATTAGCCGTTACATCGACAGCTAAAAACCAGAGATTAAGCATTCCGCAGATAATGTCAATAGTAAACTGGTCGAATGAAAATACGTTCAAAAGATTCTATGATAGACAAGTCGATATTGAAAGGAATTTTCAGCAGGTGCTAAGCCTAAGCTGATGTAAATTTTTAAACATACGAAGGAATGATTTGTAGTTACCGAAACTGAAATTTAGAAAATAAAATTTAGAATTTTATTAGCGTGTGTAACTTGTGAAATGAAATTAAAATTTTATGACTATGCTTTAGTGAGCTAATTACAAGACACTCGTTAATCCCAACCCTTACTAATCGAAAGGTTTCTTTCTCTAATTCATTTCAGGACGTATCTGGTCTAAAAGAAATTAATATTACAAAAAACAGCATGGATCATCAACAGTATAAAATCGACATCATCAGCCACTTGTATTATACAAATATTGTTAGACTAAGTATTTCACGAAAATAAGAAAGAAGAACTGTTCTAGTTCAAAATCGCAGCTCATATATCATTACAATCTATTTACTTCGTTCCACAAAATGAAGTTAAGAAAGAATGAAGTTATTTCTTTGAATTTTGCTAGTCGTTAAGTAGTAAAATGGAGAGAATACGAAGAAATACGTTGGAGTTGTCTCACTTAAGCTTAGTCATAAAATTTTAATTTCATTTCGCGAGTTATACACGCTAATAAAATTTTTAATTTGTACGGGAAATACAAAACTTACAGAAAAAAGGTAAATCCGACTCAAATAACCGCTTTCCTTCCCCCAAAGGAATAGATATGTCCAAGAAGACTCTATTTCTTCGTCGGAAGTAGAGACCCTTCCATAGAAAAAGAAATTGTACAAAGCATCGTCGATATCAATCACAAGCAACCACAAAACGTTGTGCTCGAAAAAGCACCGAACATGGATTGCACCGTTCATGACTTATATAACAATTCACTTACGAGATAATTAAAAAACAAACTCTTTTCACAGCTGTTGTCCGGATTTGCTGCTCTATAACATTTGCCTTTGGTTGATCTATCTTATCGTCTTTCTTTCGTTCACGCACTCTTCTAAAAAACATTCTTTATATAAGGATGAAATATTTTTTTGGTGATATATACGTTCAAATATAAATTCGTTTCTTTTCTGGTATGAAAAGTACTTCGACACCCTGCGAACTTCATCTATCAAACAATTGTGAAATCTAACTGAGTTTCATGCTGTCCGCAAACAATTTTTTTGATTCTTGTAGCATGTTTTATTGTATTCTTGCATGCCATAAGCATGAAAATGATTTATTGTCGGCGAAAACGTATTTTAAAATGGTTTTTGATTTTAATATTCTATGCTTTTATGATCTTTTTCGGTTATGAAATTAGTAATTATGTGTCAGTGTCAACTATTATGGCACCTCTGTCAAATTTTCAACAACAAGGTTATATTACTTTAAAACCAAAAGAACTTCTTCAACGAATATTTAATGGAATTGAGTATCTAAATTCATCTGATCTACTGAATTGCATACAAAACTATACGAAAAATTTCCAGCTGACACCTCCAATCTACAAGGAATCATTGTATAACACATCGTAAGTTTTTAAAGTAAACTTGCAGTTTGTGTATATCTCACACAAAGTTAAGGTAAGCTTAAATGATTTAAACTTACCTTAACTTTGTTTTTTGAAAATTTTATTGATATTTCATTTTTATAAATTATCATTATTGAGATGCGATGTGCATACGAACAAAAAACAATAGTTGTTCGCGTATATGAGAGAATTTAAGAATGATTTTTAAATAATTGTATCAGATAAGAAAGGCTTGTAATTGTGTATGAACAGGTAATCAAACTATAATATCAAATTTTGCTGAGTTTTTGTTTAGCATTGTTCGCGGTATTGTTGTATTCTATGATATTAATATACACTCGTTGTTATTCAAACAGTTCATATGGTTATATCAATCGTGGTTATCGATCACGCGAAGTTCAAAAATTCGTCATGATTTGATAATATTCATGGAATCACCTTTATCCGATTTTCATTTACTTAACTGTCATTATCAGACTCGACGTGTATCATCTGACGATCAAAATCAATGCATTGTTTATTTAACAAATACTTTAACAAATTCAATATTGATGGCAAATTTCTCTCTATTACATTCATTTTCTCCTAAGTTTCATCTAGAACTCGGACGATTATTAAATGAAAATAATCGATTAGCATCGTTATTAATATTTTTGATGAAAGAACATCAACGCGATTTAAAATCGTATCATTCTTTATTGCGTATTGATCTCGATTCGATTTTAATGCCAAATTTAGGTACGTGGATTCCTTCCAATGATAAGGAAGATGCTGTGTTTATTGGTGATTCTATTCGAACAAATCATTTTACATTCGATCGTTTACAACGAGCAAGTAATTTCATTCATCGACAGGAAAAGATATTTCGAATACGACCATATTTTTCAATTACATGGCTAGGAAATTTAAACAATCTTATTAAATTATCACATTTAACAGTCATGTTTGCAATGTGGTTGGTAAAAGAAGAATTTACCGAAGCAGAAAGGTATCATCATCTTGGCTACTTAAATTATCCGGCATGGTACATGGATGCATTATTAGAATATGCTTCAACATTAGCATTATCGTTTTTAAAATTCAAATCAGTAAAAGTTTTACAAATATTACATTTATTTGACTGTCAAATACCATCGGATGTACGAGAAGCTGATGAAAAATATTTAAATTGTTTACATGTACAACTTCGATATCCTTCTACATATCTTACAAAACAAGCTCTTTTGAACTATTCTCCAATACCCTTTGCAGACAGTTTTCCGAAAAATCGATCACATATAGAAAATTACGTCTGGAAAATTGTAGCAAAAAGTCAAAAAATATATGACAAAAAACAGTAATGCTATTAAAATTTCTCAAAACAAATTCTCCTACTGCTACTCATTATACAGGAGACTATACTTGTGAATTAATGCGATTTAATTCTTACTAGTTCATTCAATTTTGTTCACAGAATTAATTAGAATTAATCCAGAAACTCTTCTAAGTTGGATCACTTGATATTATTCTAAGCACATCTATCGTCTCAGTTTTCGTTTCATTGACTCGGATTATAGAACGCGTCAATCTAATATGAACTCTTTAATGGACGAAACGATACAGTGTTGTGTTCGTTTCTGAAAATAAATTTTCTCGCATAGAAAATCTTTATTTCGTTCATAGTTTCTAGAATTTTTGTACCTAATAGCTCTAAAAAATCGAAGATAGAAATCTAATAAATATTAAGATAAAGTTCTATCACGGCTGGGCGAATCCGAGTTCGGACTGAAAGATTTTTTGATGAACTCGGATTTAGACTTGTGTTTTTGTATTTCGAGTCCGATCGATTCAATTTTTAACATAAATGAACAGAGAAATTTGCATTTTTTTCAATATTAATATAGGATATATAGACGCACATGTGTTACTCTTCTTAAAAATGATGCTTAAAAAATATCCTATACAGCACGGGAGAAAAAAGAAATTTCAATAACAACAATGGAAACAGTTTGAAAAAATCATTGGATTCGAAATGGACACAGGACTCGGTTTGCTTGTTTCATGACTTGGACTTGGCTCAGACTCGCCCAGCCCTGAGCTCTGTTATCATACATTTATCAATAACCTTTTTGCTTGAATACAAACTCGAACTAATTGTCGTAAAATTACTGTAAACTCCTACTAGACAGCTCGTTGTCATTTACCCGATCGGTCAATGTTGCTTGAACGGGCAAGGTCTGATCTCGAGAAACATCAGTCGTCCAATGGGCGGGAAGTGTTCATTCTAATCCTCGTGCACCGATTATTCACCATATATTAAAGTTAAGTGTTCAACCTTCTTTCTCTTATGACAGAGACGAATAACAAAAACAGCTCAATTTTGCGCAATTTATCTTGCCCGATTTGACAATGTTGCTCGTTCGGACAAGATTGATATTGCTTGGACGGCCAGGTTTGCCCGATCAGACAAGGTAATCCTGAGGCTGATATAGTTGATCAGTTTTCTGACCGCACAAGAAAGCACCGTATCATCCAAGGAAAACTCTATTTGATGCAGTTTTTGTCGCTCTATCACTTGGAATAAGTGTCTACACGTGCTATAGCTTTGATTTGTGCGTTATTCTGTTGAAAGAAAAAAATGTGGACATCTTGCCAAAACGGGTAAGATACTCCTTGTCCGATCGGATCATACTGTCTGTTCAGGCAATACATCTTACCGAACGGACAATTTCAGAAAAGCGTGACAACGGACTGCCAGAGTTGATTGTTTCAGTTTGAATTTTTTGTACTTACTTTCGGTTAGCTTCTTTAGCAAAATTCTTTTTTAATATGAACGATACAATTATATATCATCAAATATTTAATTGAGCAAAGTATGTCGCATTTTTTAAAAAAGTAATAAACAAAGTAGAACTATACGAAAAAAAAATATAACAAGCAAAATTCGCATATTTATCGGATCTATATAGATGAAGAATAGGTATCTGAACTCACTTTAACAATTTAAATTTAATGAGAAAACACAAAAGAAAACTAATTCTAAGACATTCACATAAAAGACGACGTTATACAAAAAAGTTAAGAAACCGCATATTCATATGTGATCATTAATGATTTTGATAACGAAGACATGAAATCATTGTCTGGATTGTTATTATTTTTCAAATATGCCTCTAATGTGATCTAAAATAGACCAAAAAAAATTAACATTCAAATATGAAAAAAATAAAATTATATGCCATTGTACCTGATCATTTTTGGATCGAAGACAGAAATGAATTTCACGCAAAAATCTCAATTCTTGACAACAGATTAAACATTTTTTCACTAACGAGAAAAAATGATTGTCCAAACTAAAATTAAATGGAAATATGAAGACTGTATTTTGTTCGAAACAGTAGTTAGGACATATTCATTAAGTATCTTGTTTTCGTCTGAATTTTGCTCCTTCAGTTGAACGCTTCAGTGATCAACAGTTGTTCCTTCATGGTACCTTCTCAATTGTTAACTCATGTGCCGCCGAAAAATATTACATAAGTATGAAACAAAAAATTCTTCTAACAGATTTTACTGCTCGAACGGCTAAAGTTTTGAGATATAATCTTGATTTCTTTTTCAGAATAAAATAATTTTTCACAATTGACTTTGTTGATCACTCTGCCTAGCTTTTGATAAATACCAACGCTAAAGCGCCGTTGAATTTCTATGTTAGAAAACGACAGAAACAATCGTGAAAAAGGGAAGTTTGATACCATAGATGCAGATGCACTTATTTAAATCGCGTTGATGTTCTTTCATCAAAAATATTAATAACGATGCTAATCGATTATTTTCATTTAATAATCGTCCGAGTTCTAGATGAAACTTAGGAGAAAATGAATGTAATAGAGAGAAATTTGCCATCAATATTGAATTTGTTAAAGTATTTGTTAAATAAACAATGCATTGATTTTGATCGTCAGATGATACACGTCGAGTCTGATAATGACAGTTAAGTAAATGAAAATCGGATAAAGGTGATTCCATGAATATTATCAAATCATGACGAATTTTTGAACTTCGCGTGATCGATAACCACGGTAAAACTCTTGTTTATTACAGCTTGCTGAAAATTGACGCAACAGTTTTACCGAAATAAAATGATAATTTTGATATATTCATTTATACCAAAACTAGTGTTAAATTGATTGCGAAATAGTCGGATTGATGCCTCTTATTATAAAACTTTTCGATCTGTCTTATATTAAAACGAATCGTCCTCACTTATGCCATCTTGTTTTAAGACGGACAAACACATCCGTCTTATCTTCCCGTGAGCTATTTTAACATCTTATTTTCATTATTAGCGGTTGAAGAGTAATCCTGTTGAAGGACTGTGAAAACATCTCAAGTACTGACCATATCAATGGTTTTAGTAGGAAATCAAAATAGATTGACAAGTTTTTTCAACGAGATCATTGTTCTTTATGCACGAGTGACAAACACAAAACAACGAAATGACTTTTTGTGTAATGTATCTTAAAATAAGATGAATAAAACAGAAAGTCAGATAACGATAAATTGAATTTTTTTTAGAGTGTGGTATTAAAAGTGCAGAAAACTTTTCTGATACAGTTATAAACAGACTAATAAACGGTACGATTTGAACCAATTTAAAATTTAACCAGGATTAAGCAGATGCATTTTGTAAAAGACAATCACATATATCGAGTGCATTAGATATCGTTAAACTAAATCTCAATGTTTAGATAAAATTCCGTTTTTGGTTCTGAAATTGTATCCTCCTCCCCATGACTAACTTATAGCTTAGCTGAAAAGTGGACTAACAGTTTTATCGGAGTAAAGAATAATAAATACAGTATATTACGAATAACTCGATCGTATAGAGCAAATATTTCTGAACAAATGAGACGTCTTCGAGCTCTCTACGACATTTTTTCATGAAACAGCATGCAATGTACGAAAGGTCCCATACTACCAAAACTAACGAGAAAACACGAAAAGATATGCTCTCAGGGCCTTTCGTACATTGCATACTGTTTCATGAAAAAATGTCGTAGAGAGCTCGAAGATGTCTCATTTTGTTCAGAAATGTTTGCTCTATACGATGAAGTTATTTGTAAAAAGTTTCTTGGTCGAATTTGGAGATGTATTCTTCTGAAATTTGGGTTTTCTAGAGACCCTGGTTTCAGAAATTTCAATGGTATCTTGATATACACTAAATCAGATTGAAAATTCTTCCAGCTGTTCACATCTGTTCTAGGTATTATGGTTGTAGAGAAAAAATAAAAATAAAGGCGGATCAATAATTTTGAGCGCCACTGTAAAGAAGTAATATTTCGATGAATTGGGGTTAGCAACTGGAATGTGAAAAACAATAAGCTTCAATATACTTTTGTTCTGTCTGGACAATATTGATTTGTTGGAGTAATGGTGCCAGATTAAACCACACAGCCACATTTTGCAGTTGTTTATAAGAGACTGACAACACTCGTAATGAAAATACTTTCTCTGTTATATCGAGTAGAAATGATGAATTGTCGATCAAGTGCGTTATATCCTAAAGTGGATAATGAATGGAAAATTTTCTTTAAAATAATATAAAGACGACTTACTAAAACACGAACAAAAACTTTTTCAAAATAGAGAACAGCCTGACTGATATGTTTTAATGAGAGAGTCGAGACATGTAAAATATGCCACTAGAACGACACAATTCAAATATATTTTAATCTCTAAAAAAAAGGAGTTACTTACAGATTGTGAACGATCGACAAATGTTTTCCATTTTTTGCATACTAGTCGACAGCTGAAAAAAGTAGATAGCATTAATTTGATGATAATATCAAATCAGCTTTAAAAACTCATACATCAATCAAGGCAGAATTCGACTTTTTTGGCATTTCTATTTCAGACAATGATAATAAATGGATTTAGTATATTGTCCGACTAGTATAAGTAGAACCGATTTGCATTTTTTTGAAACTGAACCAACCTAAACTGTTTTTCAAAGTTTCAAACGGGTCCAGTTCTGTGTTGTCTAATTTATTCCTGTAGAATATATCAAATGTACCTGATTTTCGTTTTGACATCCAGATAATCAATAATATTTTGTACAATAGATTCACTTTCCTTACACACGAACATTTTCCGTGTTGTTAATATCGACGTTTTTGAATTTGTGATTTGTGGCTGGTAGTTGTGGGAAGATAGAGAAGAAATCGAGCTATGATTAAGGTGAAAGTCATTGTTTATTATCGTTGGTGCTACTGGCAACTGGTCAGAAATTTGACTCTCTACATTATTTATTAATTCTACTGATAGTTGAGACGAAAGTTGTTGTTCACACTGTAAAGTTTGC